CCCCAAAACCCCAAAACCCCAAAACCCCAAAACCCCAAAACCCCAAAACCCCAAAACCCCTAAAGAGCATTTCACCTTGAAATAATCCGTTCTTCAATAATCTAGTTTTTATTAAACTAAAAGAATGGGATCCTAAAATGCTTTATCTATCTCTTCCTCGGCCATATAGATCATGAAAACTCTGTTTGTCTTCGCAATGGCAGTGAAAGTTTTGGATGTTATAACCAACACTATGGAGGAAGTAATAGGCTTATTAACTTCAAAACAATACATCCTAGATTATGGAAATAATACACCTTTTGTTAATTCCTTCTGTGGTTTAAACACTTAGATATAAAATTTTATTAGTGCCTTAGCAAATCTTATAGTTCTGCTGGTAAGTATTACTGATACCCTATTCCTCTTGAGGAGTTTATAAAAGCATCTAAAAGATTGCTGGAACTCTTAGTATCTTAAATGTCTCTTTTGAGGACATCCAACCTCTTTCTGTCCAAAATGATAGCTCCTTGGGACTCTTTGATAGCTGGGAGCTCAAAGTCTCCAGATGCTTGGGAGAAGACACCTTTCATCCCGTAGCTGTTGTTCTTGAAATCTGGCTTACTCAAGGAATCCTTGTAGTAATCATATCCTTTGGTAACTTTTGAGCTGAATGGATTACTATTCATTCTAGGCATCGAGCGTCCAGGATGGATCCTATCAGGACTATACTTCTTCAGACTCGTAATCTTAGAGTTATTAATGTTCTTTGATATTTTTATATTTGGTGTCTTAGAGTAAAGTACTGGCTTCTGTGGAGATTCATAGTATGGCTGTTGATTTCCAGTAGCTTCTAAACTCTCAGCAGCTTCTTCAATGGCTTGATGGTTTTGATGATGATTTTCATAATCATACTCTTCTTCATAAGGATAATGATCTTCATCTCTTTCTCTGCTTCTTCCCCTATTGGAACGCCCAGAGTTCATACTAGCAATCTCTGAAACTTTAGACCTGATTTGAGATATCTTTTCTAAACTTGTTAGTCTCTTCCTGAATTTCTTGATGCTGATGTCTTTTGATCTAACTTCATTTTTGCTACTTTTCACCATATCTTTCAGAACAGTGACCTCACTTTTCAGATCTCTATTCTTCTTCTGAAGTTCAGTAATTTTGCCTTGCTTTAGCCTATTAAATTTGGCGGTGGCAACGGAGCATTTTGACTTATATTCCTTGAGTTGTTTTTCTAAATTCTTTACATAAGAATCTCCTTTCTCAAACTCACCCTTAAAGTGTTTAAGCTCATTAGTGAGTTTGTTTATTTTTTCATTTTTCCCCTCAATATCCCCGTTTTGTTCTTCTATTAAGGCTTCAAGTTCGTTTTTAAACTCAAGTAGCCTCTGCATGTCTTCATGCATTTGAGCGATTTGCTCCTCTTTATCTCCATCGAATTTATCTTGTTGCTCGATCTGTTGGTCTTGGGTTTGTTCAAGCTCATGCATTAAATTTCTAGCTTCTTCTTCCGCTCTTTCAGCTCTCATTTCAAGGTCTTGGTTGTTGGTCTCAAGGACATCAATCAGGTCCATTTTTTCCTTGATTTCAAGCCTTAAGTTATCAAGCTCATCAGTAATGTGAGAGGTATGTTGCTCATGTTGTTCCTTAAGGCCATAAAGTTCTTCTTTCATGGCATCCATTTGATCTTTCATCTTCTTCTCTACTTTTTCCTGGACTAATTTCTTCTTAAGATTGTTGCTCTTCTCACTTAGCTCATTGGGGTTTGCCTTGTCTCTGTTAAGCTGGTCCTTCTCTGCATCTTCATCAGCAATAATATTAAGGTTGACTTGGACTAGTTGGTTTTCATCGGAATTAAATTCTTCATTTTGGCTTTTATTTTCAAATTGAGAAAGTTTTAATTGCAGACTTTTTACCTCAATTTCATGATCAGCCTCTAACGCTTTGATCTGGTTCTCTAAAGACTTCTTTTCATCTTCAACAGTCTGGAGAGAGGCTAATTTCTTCGTGAGAAGTGCTATCTCTTGGTCCTTGGATTCAAGCTGGGCTTTGTAGTCAGTATTTTCAGAAATCTCCGGTCCCGCTGCCTTTATCTGGTCTTTCAGGCTATTTCTGAGTGGAATCCATCTCTTGAATGGCGTCTTCTTTACTCTTTATAATAGAGTTTAGCCTATCATTCTCTCCAGAAAGAGTAGCTACTTCACTTTCGAGATTTGATATTTTAGTCCTGAGTTCTTCTACAAGGTCAGATGTTTCCTCGCTCATTTGTGTTTAGCACTTCCTCAAATAAATTTATTAAATTTATATAGTAATTGAGGGGTTTTGGGGTTTTGGGGTTTTGGGGTTTTGGGG